TCTGCCTTCTTGTTATGGTTCACGGTCTACTAAACTTCCTTCTTGTTACAGTTCATACTCGGCTACACTTCCTTCTTCTTATTGCTCAAACTCAACTACACTTCCTTTTTGTTATTGTTCATATTCTACTCACTCCCATATTTGATATTGTTCACAATTCAGTAAACTTCGGTCTTGCTATTGTTCACACTCTGCTGCACTCCCCTATTTGTTATTGTTTACACTCTACTAAAATTCCTTCTTGTTATTGTTCACACTTTACTAAACTACTTTCTTGTTCACACTCTGCTACACTCCCCATTTTATTATTGTTCACACTCTGCTACACTCTTCTATTTGTTATTGTTTACACTCTACTAAAATTCCTTCTTGTTATTGTTCACACTTTATTAAACTCTTTTCTGGTTATTGGTCACACTTTGCTACACTACCCTGTCTATTATTGTTCACACTCTGCTGAACTCCCCTATTTATTATTGTTTACACTCTACTAAATTTTCTTCTTGTTATTGTTCACACTTTACTAAACTTCCTTCTTGTTATTGTTCACACTTTGCTGAACTCCCCTATTTATTATTGTTTACACTCTACTAAAATTCCTTCTTGTTATTGTTTACACTCTACTAAAATTCCTTCTTGTTATTGTTTACACTCTACTAAAATTCCTTCTTGTTATTGTTTACACTCTACTAAAATTCCTTCTTGTTATTCTTCACACTCTACTAAAATTCCTTCTTGTTATTGTTCACACTCTACTAAAATTCCTTCTTGTTATTGTTTACACTCTACTAAACTTCCTTCTTGTTATTGTTCACACTCTACTTAACTCCTTTCTTTTTATTGTTCAGACTCGGCTACACTTCCCTATTTGTTATTGTTTACACTCTACTTAACTTACTTCTTGTCATTCTACACACTCTGCTACACTCCCCTATTTGTTATTTTTCACAAGCTGCCATACTCCCCTATTTGTTATTGTTTACACTCTACTAAAATTCCTTATTGTTATTGTTCACACTCTGCTACACTCCGCTATATGTTATTGTTCAAACTCTGCTACACCCCCCTTTCTGCTATTGTTCACACTCTATTAAACATACTTCTTATTATTGTTCACTCTACTTAACTCTTGTATTTGTTATTGTACCATTCTACTAAACTTCCCTATTTGTTATTGTTCACACTCTACTAAACTTCCTTCTTGTTATTGTTGTTTTTAGATTACAATGGAGACGATAAATATCAGAAAAACAGAAACGAAATTGATTAAATTGGTTTAACCCAAGTTGATGGTGTAGAAAAGTAGGGCGTAAAACTCCATTTCATTTCTAGTTAACTTGAGTTTCTATTAAGCAGACTGTAGAGTTCAGTCTCAACCGATCCTCCAATAAATGCATCATTGATTCGGCTTCAGGATCTTTGCGTCAATATACATTACATCGCGGTATTACAAACTATTACTTCACCAAAAACTATTCTCAAAAGCAATCCAACCATCCAATTGTCTGTCGAGTGACAGGGAGGGATGTTCTGAATAGTCAGTCGCTATTAATATAGTTTTATTTTCGTAAAATTCAGCTTTAATATGTTTACGTCATTGTATGTCTATATTAGGTAATTTAATTTTCATTGGTTCACGTTACTTTTTGTTGCTCCTCGTGTTAAATCGCCATGTTCGTTCAGAAGAGTCGCCTCCAACCTTTGTAGATATATTGATAATATTTTAAGGCTAGTGTACATGTGTCAATGCGCTTTCTATGAGTATTTCCTGTTTAAAGTGTCAGAATTGTCTAGATCATAGTTTGCATTTCATAGACACTATTTCCCTTCCCGCTAAGATTTATTGTATCTTTCCTAGTTTTACAAGGTATTTTCATAAGTCTCAATATATTGTCAGTTTCATATCTGTATTGTATTCAAAGTGTTAGGTAGGTAATAAGAGAGTGGAATCTATAGATTTAAATTGTGCGCATTGATCAGTTAAGTGTAGTCTGTAGTCTTGTTAAACGAGGTTACGTGCCTTTAGTTAATGTTGATTCTCATCAGTGTAACTTTTCTCTTTTCAGAATAAATTTTATTAATTCTGTTACATAATTCTGCTTAGAATAAAAGACATTACTGGAAGTTTGTCTTATCTAGAACCTTCTTCGCACCTAGGATAGTCTGGAACATACAAATTTCTGAAGGGAATTCGAAGAGAATTTATTGTTTATGATTCCTGTTGACCAGTTATTTCCTGAGTAAGAAGACAGAATCAGTATGTCCGGTTCGGAGAAGACTGTGGCAGATGTTCATGCTGGTCCATCTATTGAAGTGGATGAAACGTCAGAGTTGGTAGATATCAAAAACAAAAGAAAGATTCTAAAAGGTCGAATAACACGAGCTATAAACAGTATGAGAGAATCTTTGAGAAATAATGATACTAACATTAGAAGAATCAAAAGAGAACTGAGTGAAATAAAACAGGATTGTGAGACTGTGAGAACCTTAAATAATAGTCTTTACAATTTAGTTCTTTCTTCTGAGACAGTTAAACTTGATAAATGGGATGATGATTTACTTTTCACAATATTTGATGTGGAGGAAGATTACATTACTTCACTAAATAGACACAATCAGAGTATCCGTTCCCCATCTCCTGTTGTTGTGCGAAGGAAGTTTAGTAGAGTGTAAAAAATAACAAAAATGAGATAACAGCAGCAATTTATAGAGTGGATTAAGAGTGACAAAGGACGAAGAGAGATGGAACTGAAACGGAAAATAGGGGAGTGTAGCAGAGTGTAAACAATAACAAGTAGGGGAGTGTGGCAAAGTGTAAACAATAACAAGAAGGAATTTTAGCAGAGTATTAACAATAATAAATAGGGGAGTGTAGCAAAGTGTAAACAATAACACAAAGGAAGTTTAGCAGCGTGTAAACAATAACAAATAGGAGAGTGTAGCAGAGTGTGAACAATAACAAAAAGAAAGTCTAGTAGGGTGTGAAAAATAACAAATAGGAAAGTGTAGCAGAGTGTAAACAATATCAAGAAAGGAATTTAGTAGAGTGTAAACAATAACACATATGGGACTGTAGCAGAGTGTAAACAATAACAAGAAGGAAGTTTAGTAAAATCTAAACAATAACAAATAGGAAAGTGCAGCAGAGTGAGAACAATAACAAGAAGGAAGTTTGGTAGACTGTGAACAATAACAAATAGGGGAGTGTAGCAGAGTGTGAACAATAACAAGAAGGAAGTTTAGTAGAGTGTGAACAATAACAAATAGGGGAGTGTAGCAGAGCGTGAACAATTACAAGAAGAAAGTTTAGAAGAGTGTGAACAATAACAAAAAGGAAGTTTAGCAGATTGTAAACAATAACAAGAAAGAAATTTAGTAGAGTGTAAACAATAACAAATAGGGGACTGTAGCAGAGTGTGAACAATAACAAGAAGGAAGTTTAGTAGAGTGGAACAATAACAAGAAGGAAGTTTAGTAGAGTGTGAACAATAACAAATAGGGGAGTGCAGCAGAGTATGGACAATAACAAGAAGGAAGTTTAATAGAGTGAATAATAACAAGAAGGAAGTTTAGTAGAGTGTAAACAATAACAAATAGGGGAGTGCAGCAGAGTATTAACAATAACAAGAAGGAAGTGTAGTAGAGTGTAAACAAAAACAATAAGGAAGTTTAGTAAATTGTGAACAATAACAAATAGGGGAGTGCAGCAAAGTGTGAACAATAACAAATAGGGGATTGTAGCAGAGTGTGAACAATAACAAGAAAGGAGTTTAGTAGAGTGTGAAAAATAACAAGGAGGAAGTTGAGTAGAGTGTGAACAATAACAAGAAGGAAGGTTAGTGGAGTGTAAACAATAACAAATAGGAGAGTGCAGCGGAGTGTAAACAATAACAAATAGGGGACTTCAGCAGAGTGTAAACATTAACAGGTTTGACCAACTCTGTGCAACTGATTAGATACTGTAAACTAACAACAAAAATTTTGTTTAAAACAATTCTTATAAGCCGCTGCAGTGGTCAAATAAAATTGCAAAGAATTCCCTCCCTTTAGTAAAACGTATATAAAACGTTACTATTTACTATTGTAGACTCTAGATTAAATAATTAATAATAATGATTAAATAACCATATAGTGAAATAGAATATTTCTATTTCTAGTCTAAACAGTCTACGGCTTTCTTATATCACGTGATGCAGTGATTTGATTGGATTACAGGCCAACGAATACAGCCAATTAGAGACTCCGATCGGAAAAATGCAAATTCTTAATGTTTACAGGCTTTCTATCGATTGGCTATATTCTCTAGCATTTACGAGCTTCTGTAAAATAAGAAAGGTGGCTTTTTAAGTCAAGGTATGAGATGAAATTCGTAATAGCTTGACAGTGTGAAGATTGACCAAGGATTACTTACAGTACCAGGCATTTAAGATCTTTAGGATTAGTGCCAGTCCAAACTAATAGTCTGACCCCTTCATAGAAACACCACTGACGAACTTGCATCAATTAAATAATTAAAATTAATCAGTATTTTGAAATGGTTTATTAAAATTTTCAACGAAAGAAGATAAAATGAGATTCAGGCTTGAGCTTGCAGTATATATTCAACACAATTTATTTGTAATGTTTCAAGGTACGAGCTGAAGGATCGGTTGTTTCACACCATTTCGGCATCCAGAAATAGGGAATCCATTTTGATTTGTTGGGGAAACGACTTTCGAAGATTTTTCTATAATAATATGCTTCTTTAGTTTTTGGTGTGTTGAATGGATAAAGTGTAGCTTCTTGTTCCAGTTCATCCTCGTTCACCTGAAAAATAAAGTTGAAAAATATTGATATGATACTCTTTTGTCCCAAAATATTTGCCAGGAAGCACCAAATCATTCATACCCCCAGTCCCGGGAGGTTGGCGCCGCCACTGCTAATACAAAGCTCTAAATCACAGTTAATTGGTACGGTGCAATTCGACATTATTGGTGCAACAAGATGGCTCTCTCAGGGTCCAATCTTTGTCGAGAGTGTAAAAAAAAACATTCAGAACTTAAAAAACAGTGTTTGTAAGAGTTACTTCCCTTCTAGTGAGATACAATTGCTTTCCCCTTCCTGTCACGTGACAGACGATTGGATGGTTGGATTGCTTTTGAGAATAAGTTTTGGTGAAATAATATTTTGTAATACCGCGATGTAATGTATATGAACGCAAAGATCCTGAAGCCGAATCAATGATGCATTTATTGGAGGATCAGTTGAGACTGAACTCTACAGTCTGCTTAATAGAAACTCAAATTAACTAGAAATGAAATGGAGTTTTACGCCCTACTTTTCTACACCATCAACTTGGGTTAAACCAATTTAATCAATTTCGTTTCTGTTTTTCTGATATTTACCGTCTCCATTGTAATCTAAAAACAACAAT